AGGGCCACCTTAGCAAAGCGCATCCCAGGCTGCATAGCCGCACTACCCTACCCAACCATACCACACATAAACATGACACTACCCCCGGGGTTTACACAGACGAGCCGGCGAAGCAAGAAGAGCGCCAGAAGAAAGGGCCCTAGCCGGCGGGGCCCAGCCAGGACAAAAGGAGGTCCCACAAAGCGCCTACACCGGCCGCATTTGCGGTCGGGGTAGACGACGGATGGGGCCCACCTACGAAGGCTGTCCAGGCCTACACGAGATGAGGCAGGATAAAGAGGGATAATCCCCCTCGATCCCAAATCATTGAGGCCAATTTCTAGCCATGGAATAATGGCGGCGGCGGTTAGTCTGTGGTGAAGAAGAAGAAATAGTTTGAGAATGTGAAATCCATTAAATCCTAAATTCAGAAATTTACAATTTTAAAATCTTGATCACCCGGTTTTCCTTACATTGTACGATTTGTATGTTAACAAATTATAGCGCAAGTAAGTATTTACATGATTTTATTGGATTCAATATATCACTTACGTTTTTTTTAAGGATGGATGAAGTATCAGAATTTTTTAAAAGTGGTTTTCTTGGTTTATATAAAAATACCATTGGAAAAAATTATCAACAAAAAACTTTAGAGGACAGAGTCAGTAATTTTAATAATATGAGGCGGGAAACAAGAAGTACATTAATGCATCTAAAACGACAGATTGATAACATGACACCACCTGAACCATCTAAAATTATGAAACAAACTCTTGAAAGGAAGGATATAAAGAAGTCAAATGAACGATACGATTTGTTACAGAAATGGAAAATGGAAAAGGAAAAGCGAAAACTTGAAGAGAAACAAAAGGCGAAACCCGTGTTTAAAGTATGTCGTGTACCTGATGAAATTAGTTTATCAAACTTAGACGTTGTAAATAAAAACATGAAAGGGAAACTGATTGAAGAAAATGTAATGCAAAGCCTAAATAAATTTGCACCATCAAACCATACATTTCATCCACCAAAAGCTTTAAAACCTATTCATATAAATTCTGCTAATAACTGTATTCAGTTAGATAAACCGCAAGTGGACTTATTTAAAATTAACACATTTTCAAATTCTTTGAAGAAAAATAAACATTCTTCGAGAGTTACAGGTAGAGAGGGTTCTGTCTCACGAACAAATACAAGAGCTACAACTCCTAACCGACGACTTGAAAAGTTTGAGATGAATAATAAAAGTCCTCGCAACAAATTAGATGAAAATAAAAACAACTTTACACCCACTAGTATCAAACAGAAAACAACTAATTCTAAAATAGAGAATAAAAATGTCAAGCCTAAAGCAAAGTCAACAACCTTGCCATGTATTAAAGTAGAAAGCAAAAGTATATCTGCTACTGCAGCCAAACGAAGTCTTGGGAGGAGTAAGAGTAATACACTAACTAAAATACAACTTATTTGTTAATTAATTCTGTTTTAGGTTCTGTTATTGAAAAGAAAATCTCAAATAATTATAATCGAAATGAAAATTTTGTGGAAGAACATTCTGAAAACAAATCCTTAAAATTATCTCGAAAACCAGTTGTAAAAACCTTTGAGTGGAATTATGAAGAAGTTATTGGAGACCAAGGTTTGTCTGCAGGTAATAAGAGTATTAAAACACCTACAGCTGTTACAAAAAAATATAATAAGACACCTAGAAAAACGCATAAACTTCACTTGTCAGATGTGGAATTGATTAATTTTTGTAATAGTGCGACAAGGAAAAAAAGTGACCCTCAAAGTATACCAAAAAATATTATGGAAGTCAGAAGACGATTAAGAAATAATAACCCAAATTCTGAATTAAAAGGATTAGATAAATTTGACCAAATAGAAAGTGACTCAAAATCTCGAAATTGTACAGTTGGATCTGCAACAGGATCTGCACCTCCAGATTATCCAATAGATAAAAATTTGACTGACTTAAATAGCTGTTTTCATACACCTCAAAAAAATAATATTTGCGAAGATTCTCCAGTTTACATAAGTCCTTTTGTAACCGTCTCTCGAGAAAAGTCCAGTGCAAGGAAGGAGTATCACATGAGGTACTTTGGGGTTGAGCGGTCTCCTGAATTTGGTGTAGATATTTTAAATAGTACAAGTCCTAAAGCAGGAGCTGATTATTTTTTAAAAAAGCTTAACAGTGAGGTAAATAGAATAGAAATAACTTGTGATATGTGGGAAAATTACAAAAATTCAAATGAGTTATCAGAAGAAGCAAATGACATGATAAATGTGGCTATAGGTCAGTCAAAGTTACTAATATCTAAAAAAATTGAGCAATTTCGAAGTTTAATAGAATAGTGCAGAACATGTAAATATGCAGAAAAACCTATTTCTTGTGAAGATTTGCATGGTTTCTGGGATATGATTTACATGCAAGTTGAGGATTTAAATAAACGGTTTAATAATTTAAATGTATTGAAAGCAAATAACTGGCAAGAAATTGTACCAGAGAAAAAAATTGTTGCGACACGTGGTAGAGGCAGATCTAAGAAGGCTTTAGCTAGTTCCGCACTTAAAGATCTTATCAAAGCTGTTCGTCTTAAGAAAAAATCAAAAACTGAAGATGAAATTAATTTAAATGTTCATGTTGATGAAACCAAAGAGTTCAATGGTGGCTACTACTCAATTAAATCGCCGGTTAGAATAATAAAGGACACGCTTGTAATGAATGAAACTGCTAGAAGTTTCAGAATGTGTTTTTTAACTAACCAGGCTAAGAATCTCAGGAGTTTTTCACAAGGTTTAACAATGATGAAAATTTCTCAAGTTATTAAACACAGATATGGCGTAACATCTAGTAAAAGTATTTTGAAAAATGATTTATCAAAACATGAAAAATCTGTTTTATTTAAAGTAGATGTAGAAGAGGACACAAAATCAAAATTAGTTTGTGCAACAGAAGAACTGTATGGCGATAAAAATGTGGAAAACTGTATTAACAAGGAAAATAATGCAAATGAAAGCAATAGGTTTTAGTTCTGCCACCTCTATATAAGACGTAATCTAAATATCGTGAAAATTTATTACTATTTATTTAAATATTGTTACATTAATACTTTTTATTTTTGTATTGAGTACTTTTGATATTAATTTGTTTACTAGTTTTTTTCCTTTTTTAATATAAGTAATGACGTATAATGTCATAATTAAAACAAATAAAAGAATTAAATATCCGTATTAACTAGGTATACCTACTTCAATTCTATCATTGAATTCTACGTTTTCTTTGCTATACCTATTTGGATACCTACACAAAATAGATCTTTACTGGAGTAACTGGTTACTAATTGGTAAACATTACAGAATGTGTACATAAAATTAATGAGGTAATAAGTACGTCTCTGTAAGTACTTATATCTCGGATACAGTATAGAAAACGGTACATTCACTGCTCAGTGCCCTTCTTTTGTGGACCACAACCCCACTGCTTTAAAAGTCCAGTAAAGGAATGCGTGATCTATGTGCAATAGCAATTAGCAAGTCCACCGACAGCAGTCATTTAAAGCGCCATAAAAAATGAAACTATAACTCCGCGGTCGAAAGTATAGAGAGTGACTCAGACATAATATAAAAACACTATTACCATAATGCGTATAAAATATAAAATGATTTTTATACGGTTCAATATTATTTATCTTTATGCCGCTCGCTACGCACATCGATAGAATCTATAATCGTCTATAGACTGAATTACACTGAACGTCGATCTATATTCTATCTCTGTCTTTTGCATTTGTTAGGGAATAGGGAAATGCTTTTTTAGTGGGTGTAAACGGACTTGATTTATCCGTCCTGAGAAACGTCATAGCATAAACGTAGACGAGGGGTCTAATTCAATGGCTATAATATATAAATTAAAAAAACACAACTGGGACGTTTTAAAATGCTGTAATAATTAAAATGGATCAAAGTGCCGGTTATAGCAAACCGTAAAAATTATTAGATGTTATGTTTTATTATCTTTTTTCAATATTTTCTATATTTTGTTGCCTTTTACGCAGACACGCCAATGGATTTTCGTTCCCGGCACGCTTCATCCCCCTTACTAGTCCAAAAGCTAGCGATGAGTCACTCTCTATAATTTCTACCGCGGAGTTATAGGGTCAATTTTTTATAAATAGGTTAGATAGGCGGTGAATTTACTGTTTTCTATATATCTCGGTGAAATTTATGATATTTGACATGTGACAAATTTATATTTGGTTCCACAAAGTGAACCGTATTAGTCTAAGATCCCGACTTAGATCGCCATTAATCCATGGCTAGAAATTGGCCTCAATGATTTGGGAGCGAGGGGATTATCCCTCTTTATCCTGCCTCATCTCGTGTAGGCCTGGACAGCCTTCGTAGGTGGGCCCCATCCGTCGTCTACCCCGACCGCAAATTCGGCCGGTGTAGGCGCTTTGTGGGACCTCCTTTTGTCCTGGCTGGGCCCCGCCGGCTAGGGCCCTTTCTTCTGGCGCTCTTGCTTCGCCGGCTCGTCTGTGTAAACCCCGAGGGTGGTGTCATGTTTATGGTGGCCCTTAGGCTCGCAGGGAGGGGAGGGGTAAGGAGGGTGTCAGATTAAAGAATTATCTGAAATTTGCGCATGCGTGTTGTTGATATGTTTGGTTATGTTATAAAGAAAGATTGTTTTGTTGACTGTTGAATGAAATGTTAACTTCGTTTCGTTCTCTCATTCACTTGTCTTGTGTCGAAAAAATCAAATTATTTAAATTAATCGAAATTGTGCTTGAAAATCTAGAAAAAAACAAACAAAATTTCCTTTCACAAAAAATAAATTTTGAAAATAAATAGTAGGTATAAATTTTTCCGATCTCAATTGACGAACCAAGAGGTTGGTAGTGTGTACGAGGTTCAGTCCCTGACGCAACAATTCGGCATTGAAATATCTGAAAAACTTGTTCCCATGTTTATTTAGTCATACACCCATATACAGGTCTGGTCGAACTAAACGTGGAGGTGGTAGAAATGTATACGCCCAGTTGAAGAATGCGCGCGCGGGCAAACGGCGTACACAGACAACCGAACTGGGCGACTGGGCTATAATAATCTCAGCTGTTGACAAGTGGCTGAGAAATTGCCTAGCAGTGCAGTGCAGCAATGCGGAATTTGGTATGATTCAGGTAATTTTTGTTTATTATAAGCACCTTCTATTTCATTTATATTACAATTGCGAAATGGAGAAAGAGGGATATTTTGTTTACTAATATTATTACAACGTGACGTTTTGGAGACCTTTTGAAACGGAACAAAACGAAATTAATTTACCATCAAGGGTGTCTCATAATTAGCTGCCAACCCTGAACAGGCCGATTCTATGATCAAAACTAAGTAAAAAAGTTTATATGAACATGGGTCCGGAAATGCTTCCTAAGGGCACAGGGACCCATTGAAGAGGGAGGAATGGAAATCATTTTTTTGCAATATCTCTCAATNACAAATTATGTTTTAATTTTTTTGATGTAATAAACTACAATTTGATAAAAATTGACCTTTTAAGCATAATTTCGTGGCATAGATCTTATTTATTTAATTCCATGTTATTACACAAAGTGTTTACACACGTCAAAACAGAAAAAAGAAAGAAAGAAGCACATTAAAATAAAGTAAAATAGGTCATAGACTGAATAATAGTTATGTAATAAAACATAATAAAATAGTAAAAAAGTGTGCATACAAAATAGTAGATAATTAAAATATAATACCAAATAAACAAAGGGTAATACAATACATTAAATTAGATTACTCACAAAAAACTGTTTAATATCATAAAAGGCATTATTTATTAGAAACATTCTTATTCTGTATTCTAAATTGCATGAAAATATAAGTATAACTAAATTGCATGTTGTGTTTACAATGTTCGTTATGACCCCTAGAACATGATGGTTCAAAAACTGTTTAAAATAACGTTGTTTTGGTTAATATAGCGCTAAAGATTGAAAATATTAAATTTTAAACTATATGAATTTGCAAGTGCACGTTAAATAAACGTAATATAACATAAATGTACAGGAAAGATTTAATAAAACAAAATAAATTATTGTAGTTAAAGTAAAGCCAAGTAAAAATGCTTTAAACTGATCTGATGTGAGTATTATTTATTTAATTATTGTACGTGCGTGCGATGAGAATTTTAAAAAAGAACTTGTTATAGTACTGAGAAACTATAAAATAACGTCAAAATTCTAATTAAAAACTACGTGAAATAGCGGGACATTTCAATAGCTATTCAACTGAAGGCTAAAGTAGCAATAAACGTTATTTTAATCGTTCGCATTCACAATGCATATTACTTTTGAAATCTTGTAACTCAAAAATTACAGCTGTTAGCGTAATAAACAAATAGGTCAATATTTGCTCAAAATGTCTAAGAACTCAGACTCTTACAATTCAAATTATTTTCAGTAAAAGTTACAAGTTTAAAATGTCTCATATCTATGACATTAAATAAATGACTTTCATTACATCGGCATACAAAAAAAAAGTGGTCTGTACCTTTGATTTGACCCAATAGGAATCCGAATCTGAAGTCCGTTTAGCTCAAACACCCCCAAAATTTTGAGCAAAAATATTCGAAAAAATTTGTTCTGATCAAGTTGGTTTCTTATAGGTATATTTTGATGTGCTAAATCTAAATCTGAAGTGTTTTAAGCATACCATACCCCCGATTTTGCAAAAATCGCAAAAATAATATCGAAAAATCACCAAAAAATAGCGAAAAATCGCCAAAAAACGCCAAAAATCACGTTAGTGAGCGCACAAAAATTCCAACGAATTTTTTCCGACCTTGATGTATGTATTTTTATACGCTGAATTCGACTCTGAAGTCTATTAGCTGTATCCCAGATTTTGCAAAAAAAACTCAAGAAATAGCTAAAAATTTCAAAAAGATCATATTAACGAGAGTGAGAAAATTTAGAAAGAAGTTTTCTAGATGTTTAAATGTCATGGATATGACCAGGCTTTCTTTGAAGATACTCTTACAGTTTTTTTCTTTTGTATCGAACTCTTTCTGACCTATGGAGCGGGTTTCTCTTTCTCTTCTGTCTATTGTGATTTGTTTCTCTCTTCAGTGTCCAACAGAAATCTGCCATAATGTTGATATCCCATTTTCCTTGGTATCAATCCATTTCACTTATATCTTGATGGAATCCTTGTTCTTCATTGTATATTCTTTAAGGTTTTAAGAAAAAATAGTCAAGGTGAGAGTATATGAAGTGCAATTTAAGATTCATCAAGCAATTTAACTGTTTGAAAAAGTTCGCTACAAAAGAAGAAAAGTGTAAGAGCAAGATCAAAGTAGGCCAGTTGAATTTATTTGGAACTAATTTAAATCCATGACATTTATTAACGATTTTTTCGGATTCGCGATTTTCATGTTTTTTTGCGATATTTTCTGATTTTTGCTAAATTTTTGGGTATGAGGCTCAACAGATTCAAATTCAACTCCAAAAAAATTTATCAGAACACCTGATCCAATCTGGAAAAGCTCTTTTTAAATTTTCTCACTCTCATTAATATGATTTTTTGCCATTTTCAGCTATATTTTGCGTTTTTTGCAAAATCTGCAAAGGGGAGGAGAGGGGTACAGCTAAAAAACTAGAGACTCAAATTCAACGTGTGAAAATGCATAAGAAATACACTTGATGAAGATTTTTGGTCATTTTTCACAATTTTTGGTGATTTTTTGTTATTATTTTGGGTTTTCGCAAAATTTGGGAGAGATGCAGCTTAAAAAACTTCAGATTTGTATTCAGCACATCAAAATATATAAGAAACCCACTTGATCAATTACAGAACAAGTTTTTTCGATTTTTTTTCTCACTAACGTGATTTTCAGTGATTTTACACTATTTTTTGCTAATTACTCAAAATTTTGAGGGTGTTTAAGCTAAACGGACTTCAAATTCAGATTCAGCATGTACAGCATGTATAGACATAAAGTCTATAGGGTCAAATAAAGGACCACTTTTTTTTGTGTGCCGTTTCTTAATCGAAATCTTTTATCAAAAAGTATTGTTGTTACATTTTTATGCACTGCCTTTTGTGTTGAGATAAATGATGTTATGGTTTTGAATATATAGGATATAAACAGATCCATATAAATACAGGAACCCCTAAAAGCGTAACAGAATGTATGGAAGATATCAAAAAGTATATTATAAGGACATAGGAACGCCATTTCGAACATGTAAAATTATTGAAGTCGATTTTGTAGTTACTAAAACTGTATTGACTATGAAAAACGTTACATTATTATATTTTAATATTCTGTAGATATCCCAAACTTCTTGAGAAAAAAATGTTAAATCAAGAAAATATTTTCAAACGTGGACAACATGACAATTTTTTACATCGTAGTCACACTCTATATTTTTATAGGCGCTGTTGAGCCCAGAAGGTATTTATTAAGTAAAAAATAAAAAGATACAAAAACACATTCACAACAAGTCCAGAAGCACTTCAAGGCATGATATTGTGTACAACAATTATTAAAATTCGGCAAATAGTACCTAACCTGTAAAAATCGTTAGCAGAAAATTTCCAATATTCAACTCTATAGAAATGCATTTATCTCAAAATGAATAGTAACCAAAAATATTAGTCATTATCTCAAATAAAAAGAAAAAACATTGACCAATATCAGCATTTTTTTTGTAAATGTACTATAAAGCATTAAGAAACCTTATTGGCTGAATTTTGAATTTATTTCTTTCCAAAGCGATAGTAACAAAGAAATAGGCTTTGAAACAGGACCAGGAGCTAATTTATTTGAAAATTTGAAACATTATTTAATGATTTCAATATGTTATAGTCTTTCCGATCTCATTTGAAGATCCAAGAGGTTGGCAGTATGTACCAGGTTCAGTGGCTGACGCAGCAACTCGGCATTGAAATATTTGAAAAACTTTTTTCCATATTTATTTAACCATACCCATATACAGATCTAGTCGTTCAGTTGAAGAATGAGCACGTGGGTAAACATGACACACGTGGTCACACTGGGCGACCTGACTATAAATTCAGTTGTCAACAAATAGGCTAGCAGTGCAGTGCAGCAATGCGGAATTTGGTGTTATTCAGATAACTTTTATTTATTATAGGCACCTTCTATTAATCATTCATATTACAATTGCGAAAAGGAAAAATATGAGGGATATTTTGTTTACTAATATTATTACAAAACGAAATTTACCATTAATATAATAAAATTGTTTGAGGATATAAATAATTAAAATGTTGTTGGTCAAATGAAAATGAACATATAGTAGACATTTTCTACACATTATATACAAATTATTATAATTTTTTACCTTTAGCAGCAAACTTTTTTAGGGACGCCTATGAAACTCATTAAATTTTATTGCTATGCTAGACGTTTTTAATTTTTATACATATTAAACTGATTTGAAAAAGATTATACCTATTTAACCACAAACCTAGATTTATGTATCTAATATTACTAATTTGATTTTAGTTTTTAATCTTGCCGTCCATTACAGAAACGATATCTTCCACATAGCCTTTCATACAGACGGACGCCAGACGCGCTTTTGTCTTTTTTCTTGGAGTATGTGCATTTGCATTTCAAATTCCAAATGTTTTTCGTCCTCTTGTTGATCTTCGATATCATTAATTATAGTAACAACAGTCCGTATAACGATTTTCTTATCATAATTCATTTGCGATACAAAGAATTGCAGATTGTAGCATGTATAAACATTTGTATTTAGTAGAGAGTGATAGAGGTTAGATTAGATCGCCGCCACGCCGCCATTATTCCATGGCTAGAAATTGGCCTCCATGATTTGGGATCGAGGGCGATTATTCCTCTTTATCCTGCTTCATCTCGTGTAGGCCTGGACAGCCTTCGTAGGTGGGCCCCATCCGTCGTCTACCCCGACCGCAAATGCGGCCGGTGTAGGCGCTTTGTGGGACCTCCTTTTGTCCTGGCTGGGCCCCGCCGGCTAGGGCCCTTTCTTCTGGCGCTCTTCTTGCTTCGCCGGCTCGTCTGTGTAAACCCCGGGGGTAGTGTCATGTTTATGTGTGGTATGGTTGGGTAGGGTAGTGCGGCTATGCAGCCTGGGATGCGCTTTGCTAAGGTGGCCCTTAGGCTAGCGCGGGAGGGGAGGG